CCGTGTGTTTCTGATAAGATGCAGTGCAGTTTTTCTGATATGGCCGGAATTTTTGCTAAGAGACTTTTTTTCTGGTTTGAATTCTCAGAATGTTGTTGGCCATGGACTTGACATTCCTCTTTTCCTAGATTAAAAATCTATGCTCTGTTACCTTCCAGGAAGGCGTGTGTGCGCGCGCGTATGTGCGAATTCAAATACACGTTTACATTAAACTACAGCCTCACGAGAACTCCAGGCCTTACAGATGCTAGCTAGAAAAATCAAAGGATTTCAGAGCCAGAAGCCACCAAGGAAACGGATTCAATGTAATGCTGTTCAGTTATAAACGAGAAGGTGTTGAGGCCTCCAGTGGGTGGGGGACTTTTCCAAAATCATGCTGCTGCTTAGTGGCAGGGCAGGACCGCACTCTCCATTTCCTGCTTCATAAAACAGGGTTTCATTACTATAGATCGTGTTATGTCATCTACCACCTAGGAAATAAAATTAAAAATGTTTCTTTTGGGAGTTACATTTATTTTCTTACATAATTACATGAATCAAAGGAAGTCTTTCTGCCATGCCACTGTCCTCTTATTCCTTAGTTCTCCTCCCCGGAGGATGTCACTGTTCCTTGTGGCTTCCAGAGAAAGCCTGTGCATCCTTCAGCTGTGCCTGTACATCTGTCTGTGTGTGTACATCTGTGCGTGTACATCTGTGCGCGTATGTCTTTGTACATCTGTGTACATATGTGTAATCTGTATACGTCTGTACATCTGTGTACACTGTACATCTCTGTGTGTGTGTGTACATCCTCTCATCCTTTTTATGCTGTGCACGCTATACAGCTTGCTTTTCTCCTTTCATACTAAATCTCACTGGTCATTCCATGTCAATGCATAAAGAACTTCTTCAGGCCTTTTTGTAGCTATATTGTATCCCTTCATATGAATGAGCTAGAATTAATTCATCCCCAGTAGATGGGTTTTGTGTTGCTTCCAGTCTTTTGCGATTATAGTCAGGGTTGTAGTAACTAATCTTAAGGATACACAGGTCATTTTGCACAGATGAGAGTGTATCTACAGGAAGAATTTTTTTTTTTTTTTTTGAGACAGGGTCACATCCTGTCACCTAGGCTGGGAAGTGGTGGCACGATCATGGGTCACTGCAGCCTTGATCCTCCCACCTCAGCTTCTCCAGTAGCTGGGACTACAGGTAGGTGCCACCAAGCCCAGCTAATGAAAAAAATTTTTTTTGTTTTGGAGATGGGTTCTCTATGTTGCCCAGGCTGGTCTCAAACTCCTGAGCTCAAGCAATCTTCCTACCTCTGTCTCCCAAAGGGTTGAGATTCCAGGCGTGAGCTACCATGACTGGCCCAGGGTGGATTTCTAAAAGTAGCATTGCTTGGTTCCGAGGGCACATGTGGTTCCAAGGGCATGTGTGTTTGGAATTTTCATGGATATTACCAAATGACCCTCTCTAGAGTTATCGCCTTCTATCTTTTGGTTTGGATAGTGGCATCTTTGATTAATAGTTTATTCCAGGTAGACTTTTCTGAACTTTCATCATTCATTCAGCCAACACATCCTTTTTGAGGGCCTGTTTAGTGGCAGGACCCATCCAAGTGCTAGGGGCATGGCAGAGCAAGAGTCCTCATAGCATTCGCTGATTGGTGGAGGTGGATCTCCAGGTCGAGGGAGGGGCAGACTGGAGGTTGAGGGAAACGGAGAACTTCACAGTTCCTCAGTCGTTATGGCGAGATGTGCACAGAACACAGCAGGGACCTGTGAGCCGGGCCTGAGCTAGTCAAGTGGTCAGGGGTCCTTCTAGAAGCATGCAGTACTTAAGCCGCGCCCATGGGCATGGGCGGGCTTTAGTCATGTGGAGAAGGGGGCCTGGCAGTGGGCAGGGGAGGAGCTGTTGAGGCAGGGGCAGCGGCAAGTACCAAGATCCCGGGGCAGGAAGGAGCTTGATGCTTTTAAAAAACTCCCCTTTGCCAGGCACGGTGGCTGTCGCCTATAATCGCAACACTTTGGGAGGCTGAGGTGGGAGGATCACTTGAGCTCAGGAGTTTGAGACCAGCCTGGGCAACATAGTGAAACCTCGTCTCTACTAAAAAAAAAAAAAAAAAAATTAACTGAGCCCGGTGGTGTGTGCTAGTAGTCCCAGCTACTTGGGAGGCTGAGGTGGGAGGATCGCTTGAGCCTGGGAGGTGGAGGCTGCAGTGAGCTATTATTGTGCCACAGCACTCCAAACTGGGCAGCTGAGTATGACCTCAAAATCAAACAGAAAACAAAAATCACCACACGCCCCTCTGGCTGGAGTTCAGACAGGGCGGGAGGGGGAGGAAATGCCGGCGAGGGTCGATAGGCAGGCAGGGCCCAGCCAGGCTGCCTGGTGGGGCTCATTTATTTTTACCTAGAGCTGTGGGGAGCCATTTTGGAAGTGGGGGTACCATGTGGACACCGAGAGATCAGCTCAGCTAAACTGGACAGTATTTCCTCTAGGACAGCCCAGAAAGGGAACAAGGAGGCTGAGGCGCACTGGGGTGGTCACCCAGGCTTCCCCAAGGCAGGAAAAGGTCTTGTTTCTGGCTGGCAGGCCCCTGGACATGGTTCTTGTATTTACTTATTCTCTCAGCCACTCGGCAAATGTTTATGGGGGCTTGCAAGTGCCAGGCCCTGTGGTAGGTGCTTGGCAGACAATGCTGGGCCACAGTGACACGGGCCCAACACTGATGGAGCTCTGGGTCGAGTGTGGGGTTGTAAAATTCTCTAAAGGGTCAAGGAGTAAATATTTCAGGCTTTGGGGGCCATTCGGTTCCCAAACTACCAACTTCACTGTTGTAGTATAGGAGTAAGCTGTAGCTTGCTTTGTTCACCCTGTGTAAATAAATAGGTGTGGCTGTGTTGTCCTAAAACTATTTACAGACACAACCCATGGGCCGCATTTGGCCCGTGGACTGTGGTTTGCCTGCTCCTGGTTTGGCAGAATGAGATTCCCTAAACAGATACCTGGTGCGATGGGAGCTGTTAGCAGGTGTCAGTGGAGAAAAGATGGCAGGGAAAAGGGGTGGAGGTGAGCTTTTTGATGGGCGGATCTCAGGAGGTGCTGGCTGAGCAGATGCAGGAAGGAACCAGGGGAAGTGGGAGGATCTCGCGGGGAGGGTTTCCAAGCAGAGGGAACCCCAGGCCTCTGAGGCAGGAGCTGCTTCAGTACAGCGAGGATGTTGGAGGGGTTGTTGCTGACCCAGCTTGGGGAGAAGTGGGGAGTGGTGGGGGTGGGTGGCAGGCCAGGGCACAGGCTGTATTAGTGACTTTTGGTTCCATCTAAAGTGTCCAGAAGCCTTTATAGTAGGTTTTGAGAATGGACATCTTAAAGGCTGCTGCGTGACAAACAGACTGACAGAGCCACAAAGTGGGGAGGCCAGGGAGGAGGTGACTGCAGTAGTCCCCGTGCGAGAGGACGGTGACTTGGACCAGGGTGGATGCGATGGATTGGGGAGACCCGGGAATCTGGTTTCTGTCCTGACAGTGGAACAGTCAGGGCTGATGATGGATCAGATGTGAGGCATCAGAGTAAGGAGTCCAGGCCGCCCCGTGAGCTGACGGGGAGGGTGGAGGGGCCTCTGATGAGATGGGGTCCTTGGAGGTGGAGTTGCAGTGAGGGGTAGGTGGGGGCACTAACTCCATGGGAATTTCCCAAGCAGCCCCATGTACCTGGACCTGTACAGGATGCAGTGAGGCAGGGTGTCTGCTAGAAGAGGGTCAGGCTGAGAATTAAATGACAGTGTGAGGTGATGGGTGGCAGTGTCCTTGGGTGGCTGTCATAGAACATTGTACTTGAACAGCATTCTCTAGCGGTAGGGCCTTTCGGTCATTGGTTTTATCTTTATTTTATTTTATTTTATTTTTGAGACAGAGTCTCACTCTATCACCCAGGGTGGCATGCAGTAGCACAATCTTGGCTCATTGAAACCTCCGCCTCCTGGTTTCAACCAATTCTCATGCCTCAGCCCCCTGAGTAGCTGGGATTACAGGTCTGCACCACCACACCTGGCTAATTTTTGTATTTTTAGTAGAGATGGGGTTTTACCATGTTGGCCAGGCTGGTCTCAAACTTCTGACCGCAAGTGATCTGCCCACCTCAGCCTCTCAAAGTGCTGGGATTACAGGTGTGAGCCGCCACGCCCAGCCTGCATCCATTGGTTTTAATAGTTTGGGTGTCAGGTAACCTCTGTAGCAGTGACCCTGCCTGTCGGGGGGGCAAGTGGCTTGCCTGTGGTATTTTTAAGCCTCCTAATTCCGTATCTTTCGCTGGGCTTTTTCCCCGCTCTAGGCCTCAGTTTCCTCATTTGTAAAATGACACAGACGAGACATGAGTCAGGAGCCCTGGATCTGAATGAAGCCACTTCTTGTACTTGGTGTGAAATCTGGGACTCAAGCCCAGGGGACCATGGGCTGCAGAGCCTGTGCAGCCTCCCTCTGTGTCTTGCGTCCATGTCACATGTGTAGATTGCTGCCATAGGCCCTGGATTGGTGCTTTTCAAACTACGGGTCGTGACCTACCATACCAGCGGGTTAGGAAATCCGTCTAATGGGTCATGACCAGCGTTGAAGCAAAATCAATCAGGCAGGAGGGAGGGTCTGAGGGTGTCATGTAGCAGGGGTAAGTATGGACTTGGGAGGCTTTTGTTGCAGTTGTGGGTGTATACGGTGGTGTGAATGGGGTTGTGAGATAAAGTACACTTCTCCGAAGGGTTTCATTTAAACCCAAGTTTGGAGGCCCTTAGCCCAGGGATCTTCCAGAACTCATTCTGCTTCGACCTCTCTTCTCCAGGGACCTGGGACAAAGTGGCCTCAGTTTCCTTCTGGTGAGGAACGGAGCTTCTAGCTTGGGGTTTGGCGTGGTGGGAATTTGAAAAAAATAAACGACATGAGACAAAACCCAGCCTGTGATTGCTCTGCACCGGGAGTTCTGTTTTTGAGGCTTAAAAAGACCCCCCTTCCCCCTTCTCTTTCCAGAAGAGCCGAATGCACATAAGGTCGCCAGCCCACCCTCCGGACCCGCATACCCCGATGATGTCCTGGACTATGGCCTCAAGCCATACAGCCCCCTTGCTAGTCTCTCTGGCGAGCCCCCCGGCCGATTCGGAGAGCCGGATAGGGTAGGGCCGCAGAACTTTCTGAGCGCGGCCAAGCCAGCAGGGGCCTCGGGCCTGAGCCCTCGGATCGAGATCACTCCGTCCCACGAACTGATCCAGGCAGTGGGCCCCCTCCGCATGAGAGACGCGGGCCTCCTGGTGGAGCAGCCGCCCCTGGCCGGGGTGGCCGCCAGCCCGAGGTTCACCCTGCCCGTGCCCGGCTTCGAGGGCTACCGCGAGCCGCTTTGCTTGAGCCCCGCTAGCAGCGGCTCCTCTGCCAGCTTCATTTCTGACACCTTCTCCCCCTACACCTCGCCCTGCGTCTCGCCCAATAACGGCGGGCCCGACGACCTGTGTCCGCAGTTTCAAAACATCCCTGCTCATTATTCCCCCAGAACCTCGCCAATAATGTCACCTCGAACCAGCCTCGCCGAGGACAGCTGCCTGGGCCGCCACTCGCCCGTGCCCCGTCCGGCCTCCCGCTCCTCGTCGCCTGGTGCCAAGCGGAGGCATTCGTGCGCCGAGGCCTTGGTTGCCCTGCCGCCCGGAGCCTCACCCCAGCGCTCCCGGAGCCCCTCGCCGCAGCCCTCATCTCACGTGGCACCCCAGGACCACGGCGCTCCCGCTGGGTACCCCCCTGTGGCTGGCTCTGCTGTGATCATGGATGCCCTGAACAGCCTCGCCACGGACTCGCCTTGTGGGATCCCCCCCAAGATGTGGAAGACCAGCCCTGACCCCTCGCCGGGGTCTGCGGCCCCATCCAAGGCCGGCCTGCCTCGCCACATCTACCCGGCCGTGGAGTTCCTGGGGCCTTGCGAGCAGGGGGAGAGGAGAAACTCGGCTCCCGAATCCATCCTGCTGGTTCCGCCCACTTGGCCCAAGCCGCTGGTGCCTGCCATTCCCATCTGCAGGTGAGCAGGGCTTTGAAAATGATTGCTTCTGTGGTTTAGTTTTAAGAGATGGTTCTCTGTTCATGAGCATGGGATTCAGAGTCAGGTTTAAGTCTGACTTTAAATGGATTTAAATCTTGGCTTGGTCCCTTGCTGGTTGCGAGACCCTGAGAAGGAAGGTACATTCCCTGGGCCAGGTTTTTCTCATCTGTAAAATGGGTGTAATTAGTGTACCTGACTCACCAGGTGGTTATGAGGTTGCAGTCATGTTAAATGTAATTGCTCATATGTCACCTGGTTTATTCAAAAAGTGTTTATCAAACATCTAGGTGGCAGATTCTGTTACATAAGTAATGGAGAGACAGTGGTGAACTAAACAGGCAAAAATTTCTGCCTTCATGGAGCTGACATTCTAGTAGGCACAAGAGGAACTGATGTTTGTTAGCATCTGCTATGTGCCCCAGTTATATGGAGGCCGTAAAAAAAAATGTGTGAGCCAAGGAGCTTAAAATCTTGGGAAGCTGAAGAGATGTATGTAGATAGCAGCATAGCATGTAGGCTTTGGAGTCTCTTAAGGCTCACTTTGAGTCCTGCCTCCGCCACTCACTACCTGAGTGAACGTGGGCATCTCTGCTGCTGCCTTTCTGCTGCTGTGCTTGTGAAAGACATTGCTAATCAGTCAGCACCCTCTTTCTCCTTGAGCTCCTTTCTGAAGCCGTGCCTAGGGCAGACATCACTAATCAATCAAGAGCTTCCTCCCCCCACTGCATTTGTACTGAGCACCTTTCTGGTCTTGGTTTATTCCCTGTGAGAAGACAATAGAACCTACCTTGTGTGTGTGTGTGTTTTTTTAAATGGATTAGATGAGACGATATATGTCAAACTCTTAGTGTAGAGCCTGTGCAGTGGTATCCTTGGATACCAAAATCTGAGGATGCTCAGGTCCCATATGTAAAATGGTATAGTATTTGCATATAACCTATGTACATCCTCCCATATCCATTACATCATCTCTAGATGATAATACCTTAGAATACCTAATACAATGCCTGCACACCACTTCGTTCATATGGACTCAATGGGCATGGAAAATTCAAATTTTGCTTTTTGGAACTTTGTGGATTTGTTTTTTTCTGAATATTTTCAATCTGAGGACACAGAACCCCTGGATATAGAGGGCGAATTGCACTCTCTATGTATATTATTTCATTTGATTCTCACAGAAACTTGGTTTGTGTTATTTTTTATCTTTGTTTTGATGAAATGACAAAGGAGGTATATGAAGGCTAAGGCTAGAGATTATCCTATCTGTTCTCGTAGATGAGGAATTGGAAGACTCATGTTATTACCACGATCCCTGTGGTTTTCAAATTATTTTTTATTTTAGCAAATGGAAGTCTTTTATCCCAAATATTAAACTGAATCCCCACATAGGCCAGGTGCAGTGGCTTACGCCTGTAATCCCAGCACTTTGGGAGGTCAGGGTGGGCGGATCACCTGTGGTGGCAAGTTCAAGACCAGCCTGGCCAATATGGCAAAACCGCATCTCCACTAAAAATTCAAAAAATAGCCAGGTATGGTGGCGCATGCCTGTAATCCCAGCTACTCGGGAGGCGGAGTAGGGAGAATTAGCAGAGGTTGCAGTGAGCCAAGATCATGCCACTGCACTCCAGCCTGGCGACAGAGCAAGACTCCACCTCAAAAAAAAAAAAAAAAAAAAAATTGAGTCCTCAAATAGATAAACAGATAAAGGTGGAGCTCTTGATTGGTGTGGGGTTGAGGGTGGCCTCGGGCCCTGCCCACTGGGCCTTGCTCACCCCCATACCAGACGAAAATGTACTGCATGGAGCATCCAGCCTGGCATTTCCTTCAAAGCAGGTTCTGAGAACACCAGGGCTTCAGTATGTCAGTTGTTGTATCTTTAAAAAAAGGAGTTTCTGGGTTTAGCAGAGTTAAGTAGGTGCCTGTGTGCAGGCCTTCTCAGAGACTTTAATGTGGACAGAATATGTGGTGATTTCAAAGGCCATTTGGCTACAGAGCTCTGAGTTCAGTGACTAAAGTTTCACAGGGCTATCTTAGAAAATGCTGCCAGCCACAGTGGCTCATGCCTGTAATCCCAGCACTTTGGGAGGCCGAGGCAGGTGGATCACCTGAGGTCGGGAGTTCGAGACCATCCTGACCAACATGGAGAAACCCCGTCTCTACTAAAAATACGTAATTAGCCAGGTGTGGTAGCGCATGCCTGTAATCCCAGCTACTTGGGAGGCTGAGGCAGGAGAATCACTTGAACCCAGGAGACAGAGGTTGCAGTGAGCCGAGATGGCGCCATTGTACTCCAGTCTGGGCTCCTTGTTCTTTGTGCTACGTAGACAGGTCAGTCTCCAAACCATGATTTTATTTAATGGTTGAGAGTAGGGAGGGACACTGCTGTGAAATATGATTATGACATATTTATTGGAGACTTTGTTTACAAAAGCCTTTCCTCTCCGTGAGGCATCTTGATCAGAGAAGTTTTGAGTGTCAGAGTCCTTTGGTTCCTCACAAGTACCAATCTGTGCCAGCCAATGTGGTCTTTTGCAAGAATCTTCTATAAAGTTGAGAGGATGGGGCATCAGGGAAGTCTCCTGATAACATTGACCTCAGGGTATATGGGCATCTCAGCAGAGGGCTGGAATTCAAATCAGAATTTCAGGCTGGTTCTGATGCTCTACTTCTTTTTTTTTTTTTTTTTTTTTGAGACGGAGTCTCGCTCTGGTCGCCCAGGCTGGAGTGCAAGTGGCGCGATCTTCAGCTCCTGGGCACCTCCCCGCCCCAGGTTCAGCCCATTCTCCTGCTCAGCCCTCCTGAGTAGCTGGATTACAGGAATTGCCACCATTGGGCCCAGCTAATTTTTGGTTGTTGTTAGGTTAGAGATGGGGTCTTTCACTTGTTTGGTTCGGCTGGTTCTCAACTGCTGACCTCAATGTTCTGCCCCGCCTTGGCCGTCCAAAGGTGCTAGGATTAAGGTGTCAGCCACTTGCACTTGGCTTTTTTTTGTTTTTTTTTTTTTTAGATGGAGGTGGTTTGCTTCCGTGGCTGAGGCCAAGAGTAAATCAGGTGCATGTGATTCAGCCGCACTGCAACCTCTGCCTCCTGGCTTCGAGGATTCTCACTGCTCAGCCTCCGAGTAGCTTGGGACTATAGGGCGGCATACCACTTTATGCCTGCTATTTGTTTTTTTGTATTTTTAGTAGAGCACAGGGTTTTCCACCCACTTACAGCAGGCTGGTCTGATCCCTTGGACTGACCGTGATCCACCTGCCTCAGCCTCCCAAAATGCTGGGATTACAGGGATGCTCTACTTCTTCAGATTGTATTTCAGCATCAAATACCTATTTCAGAACCAAGCAAAAGTATAAACTGACACCTGGGGATATGCAGCTGAATTTTCTTCTCACAAAATTTTTGGTGCTTTAAAGCGTGTTAATACAGGGCTAAAGTGGTTTTTTAATGAGTCATAGTTTGTAAACCTTTAAAAACTGTTCACTTGTATAAATGATATGGGTAAAAGTGGTTGTCACGTGTGGCTCGTTGGTTGCAGGCAGAAGCTTGAAAGCATCTTGGCACTATAACTAAGGTAAAGCAGGCGTACTTTGGAAACCCTAAGACTGCAGGTTAAAAGGGATTTCAGGAGGCAATGTGGTTGGAAAGAAGAGGAAGAGATTTGCTTGCTTAGGGAGGATATGGTTATAAGTTGGATGAAATGTTTAAGTTGGACTCTGGCACAGATGAAGTTTATGGAGGTGCTACCCCTTGGGCTCCCCTTGGTACTGCTGTGATAGAGAAGACAGAATTGGCTTTATTGCAAGTGCTTAACCAAGCCCAGTTGATAGTGTCAGCTCCTAGCAGCCCTGAGCTAACTGGGAAAGAATACTCTGATTAATGATTTCTGCCATATGTGAAAACTCAGGACATGGTGACATAAATCCATAGTGATGCTTTTCAAAATTCCTAGGGGAAAAGAAGTGACAGCAGTTAGAAACATGCTAGAACTAACATAAGCTTCATTAATTGAGAAGTTGCTCACACTGTCTTCATCAAGGTGGAAGAGAAGGCAAAGAGAAAGATCTCTACCCTGTGAACAGTTCTACCTGTCATGTCTAAGAAATATGTGCTGCCTCAGCATTTTGTTCACATACAATCATGCCCCCATGATCACATTTTGGTTAGTGATGGATCCCCCATATATGGGGGTGGTCCCATAAGATTATAATACTGTTTTGTTTATGTTTTTGTTTTTTTGAGACAGAGTCTCTGTCACCCAGGCTAAAGTGCAGTGGTGTGATCTTGGCTGACTGCAACCGCCACCTCCCAAATTCAAGCGATTCTCGTGCCTCAGCCACCTGAGTAACTGGAATTACAGACATGCGCCACCAAGCCCAGCTAATTTTTGTATTTTTAGTAGAGACAGGGCTTCGCCATGTTGGCCAGGCTGGTCATGAACTCCTGGCCTTGAGTTATCTGCCCACCTCAGCCTCCCATAGTGTTGGGATTACAGGCATGAGCCACTGCACCCAGCCTTGTGTTTTGTTTTGTTTCGTTTTTGTTTTTTTGGGTTTTTTTTTTTTGAGACAGGGTCTCACTCTGGTCCCTCAGGCTGGAGTGCAGTGGTGCAGTCACAGCTCACTGCAACCTTGACCTCCTGAGCTTGGATGATCTTCCCACCTCAGTGTCCCAGGTAGCTGGGACTATAGGCATGGACCACCATGCTTGGCTGATTTTTATTTTTATTTTTGTATTTTTAGTAGAGAGGGTCTCTCCATGTTGCCCAGGCTGTCCTCAAATCCTTAGGCTTAAGTGGTCCACCCATGTTGTCCCCCCAAAGTGCTGGGATTAAGTCATGAGCCGCCACACCCAGCCATAATACTGTATTTTTACTGTACCTTTTCTGTGTTTAGATATCTTTAGATACGCAAATACTTCCCATTGTGTTACCATTGCCTACAGTATTCAGTACAGTCACATGCTGTACAGGTTGGTAGCCTAGGAGCCACTATACCATATAGTGTAGGTATGTAGTAGGCTGTGCCATCTTGGTTTGTGTAAGTGCACTCTGATGTTCACTTAATGGTGCATTTCCCAGAACGTATCTTCATTGTTGAGCAATACATGACTGTATCCATGATTTTCAGAAAATGGGCCATTTACAATTATTGTACAAGTTGACTAATTCTGGTTTATTGCACACATGGCTGATTTTATTTTCTCCTTCAGCATCCCAGTGACGGCATCCCTCCCTCCACTTGAGTGGCCGCTGTCCAGTCAGTCAGGATCTTATGAGCTGCGGATCGAGGTGCAGCCCAAGCCACATCACCGGGCCCACTATGAGACAGAAGGCAGCCGAGGAGCCGTCAAAGCTCCAACTGGAGGCCACCCTGTGGTTCAGGTATGGACTTGAATACTCTTCCTTTTGTGTGTGGTGTTTGTCACTGAGAGATTCACTTCTGCTGACCCACTGTTTGTGGCTTGTTAAGTTGAGGTATGTGTCTCAGCCTCTTAACTCCTTTGAGGAATGAGAAATCTGAGATTAAGTTAACATTAGAAGCTAATCCAGCTACTCATAAACCAGAGGAGAAAGTTTTCTTGAGCTGGATAAGGATAGAAATGATACTCGTGTGCCCGGACGCTTCTTCCCTTCTCTTTCTGTGGAGAAACTGCTAGAGTTTTGCAGAGGTTTGTGTATTGACAGAAGATTTCTGAAGCCATCATCTTAAGTTTCAGATGAAGAGTTCATTATGAAAAAATAGTAATATTTGTAAAATACAGAAAAGTAAGAAAAATTAAAACTATACATTATCAAACTACCTAAAATAGCTATATTAGTATTTTGATATATTGCCTTTCTTTTTTCTATTCACAAACACGGCAGCCTCTGTTACCATATATTTCTATGCTTAATTCTATAGTGAACATGTAGATTGTACTCTGATTTTTTAAGTTTACATTTTGCCATGAGCATTTCCTTTTGTGTTTTTCTTAATCAGTATCTTTTTCCTTTTGTGTTTTTCTTAATCAGTATCTTTTTTGTGTGTCTGTGGCTTTTGATTTAACCTCAGATTTTTTTTTTTTTTCAAAAGAAGTAGAGAAGTATGCCTATTTTCCCCCAAAATAATTGGAGTTGAAATATTCTTAATTGTATAATCTGGTTGACCAGGAACAACTGACCGGTGCCCACTAACAAGTCAATTAACCAGAACTTTTAATACATTTAAATTAATATAACAAATTTTTTGGTATTTGCCTTAAAGTGGAAGTATCCTATTAATATGATAAAACCTGGTTCTTAATCTGTAGTGTGCATCAGAACCTCTGGGGTGGTTCTTAAAAATTCAGATTGTTGGGCATTCTGAAACTACTTAATTAGAAATTATATAACATGAGTAAAACCCAGGTAAACAAACAAACAAATGAAAAACCACAAACCCCCCCAAATCTCCACAGGTACTTTGGATGTGTACCTCTGATTAAGGACATCTATGATAATAATAAGAACTTACAAGTCCTGACAATTGCTTTTTCTAAATCAGACATCACAGCGATCTTGGAATCTGTTTATATTCATTGAGTTTTTGTTTCTTGACCATGAGTCCCATTTTCCTGTTGTGTTGCGTGTCTAGTAGTTGTCGACTGCATTCTGACATCGTGATTACATATACTGGATATGGTAGATATTCTGAACTTTGTTTCACATTTCATCAGTGTGGATCTGTGGAAAGCTCAAGTTGTATTTAACTTGATGGGGCTTAGCTTTTAAACTGTCTTCTCTGTATTTCATTTGAGGATTGGTTTTAGGCCCCGTTAGGGCAGGCCTGGAGTAGCCCTTCCTCTGAGGCATGTGCCTGTTCTTCAGGCACAGCCTTTTTGGATGCCTGGTAGGGAGGTCTCTTTAATCTGGTGGGCTGGAATTCCCATATGCCAGCTCTGCTGCACTCTTAGTCTCTCTGTTCTCTCCACCCCATAGCAGCCCCTCTCTGGTAAACCTTGTGCCACCTCTCCCTGTGCTTACACAGCCCAGCCCTTGGCCAAAGACTTGAGGGCTCCCCCAGTAGCTTCCTCCTCTCTGATGCCACCGATTCTAGCAGTTTCCACAGCCTGGCACTCTGAGTGGTGCCAGAAATCCAGGATTATTTCAGGAAATCCTCAGCACAGTGCGACCACTGTGCTCTGCTCAGATGCTACTTCCTGCACGTGGCAGGGGAGCTGTCCCCAGGCAGAGAGCTGAAGTGGAGGTGGGCTTGCCTGTGCCCTTCCTCTCCCTCGGGGACCACAGTCTTCTGCTTCCTGCCGTCCAATCCTGAGAGCAATTGCCTTATGTAATTTTTTTTTTTTTTTTTGGCAGTCTCTCTCACTCTGTCACCCAGGCTGGAGTGCAGTGGTACAATCTTGGCTTACTGCAACCTCTGCCTCCTGGGTTCAGGTGATTCCCCTGCCTCAGCCTCCTGAGTAGCTGGGATTACAGGTGTGCACCACCATGCCTGGCTAATTTTTGTATTTTTAGTAGAGACAGGATTTCACTATATTGGTCTGGCTGGTCTTGAACTCTTTATCTCAAGTGATCCACCCGCCTCGGCCTCCCAAAGTGCTGGGATTACAGGCGTGAGCCACTGTGCCTGGCCAAGTGCTGTTTTATGTGTCCAGAGCTCCATGCACATTTCCTTCATGCCACCTGCCACTGCTTGTAATTCTAACATTTGCGTAATTATTTTGTCAATGTCTCTCTCTCTTAGACCATGAGCTTTGTTTAAAAGAGACCACAACTTCCTTCTTATTCTTCATTGTATATCAGCAGCAAGCATAGTTTGTCGCTACAAACATAGCAGGCATTCAACAAATACTTGGAGAATGAATATGCTCATTAAATGCATTGGCCGAACAATCTTAAGTCTTAAGGAGAGAGAATCTGTATCCATTTCCGGCTATGTGGTATCTTCATTCACTGATTATTCGAAAGATGTTTATTGAGTACCTACTATGTACCAGGCACGGTGCTTGATTCTGGGTTATGATATGAACAAAACAGCTGGAAATTCTCACTGTCATGAGCTTACATTTTGGGAAGATGATTAATGATAAACACTTGGAAAACATTTGCTGCCTGTGAGACCCTGTTCCAAGTGCTGTATATGTGTTAACTTATTTAATCCTCAAAAGAGCCTTATGACAAAGGTAACAGGTCAAGGAGCTGTCAAGGACTTGTTCAAGGTCATGGGTATTAAATGGTGGAGCTGAGATTTGGATACTGCAAGCTCTACTTGCAGCACAGTAGGTCTGATCATCCACGTCTCTTTGCAGACCAGCTTTTCCTGCCTTCTCACTTGTGCAGAAAAAGCCTGATGGGAAAATGCCTGTGCCTCTTGCAGACCACTCCCTTCCCCCCTAGTTTTACGTGCTGTTCCAGTACGAACCTTGTCATCACCTCACGGGAGCCTAAATCTTGATTCTCAGGGAGACGCTGATTGACCCTGGCTTGGGAGGGTGCCGCCTATTGGTCCAGTTGGCTGTGGCCTGGAGGTTGGGCTGCATGAGGAGTGAGGCTCAGCTCACCCATTCATCAGGGGCTGGGGCCCTGGAAATTTCCAGAGAAGGGAATGGGCTGAGTGTACAGTCCAGGAGACACCTGCTAGGCTGTCCCTGAAGTTTGTGCCTCTCCCTCTGATAGCTCCCAAGGACTCTTCCCTCTTCATGCCTGTGACTTTGTTTGTTTATTTATTTTAGAGATATGATCTCGCTTTGTTACCCAGGCTGGAGTACAGTGGCATGATCATTGCTCACTGCTGCCTTGAATTTCTGAGCTCAAGTGATCCTCCCACTTCAGCCTCCTGAGTAGTTGGGACTACAGGCGTGTACCACCATGCCCAGCTAATTTTTTCCTTTTTTGTAGACACATGGTCTCCCTGCATTGCTTAGGCTGGTCTTGAACTCCTGGGCTCAAGTGATCCTATCACCTCATCCTCCCAAAGTGTTAGGATTACAGTGTGAGCCACCACAACTGGCCCAAGTGCTTGTAACTTGGAAGATCTAATATATGATTTTAAAACTTGTAGACAAGTCTCCTTAAAAGACAAAAAGTGGAATCTTTTAAAAAAGTCATTTGAATAGATTATGTTTTTCAAAATAAGTCATGCTAATTCCTGATTTTTAGCATGGGAAGTCAGTTTAAAAAAAAAAAAAAACTTCTTTGAAAAATGAAGAAAAGAGTGGACTTTCAGAGGATTGCTGCTCTTCACCTTCAAGGGAGTGTGAAAACTGCTTCTGGAATCTGGAGCACCGCCCCCTTCATACCCAGAAGAGCAGTGTAGCCTGCTTTGTACCTTGCCTGAATGCTTCCGCCGGCTTCTCTGTTGATCTGTGTCTCACTCTTTATCTCTGTATCCGTTTCTATTTCTGAACCACAGCCTCTGTTCCCCTCTCAGTTACTTAGTCCCCACCCTTCTTTCTTTTATTTGCCACACTATAGAACTTCATTCTTTTTTCATGCCTAATGGTTTTAAGCTCCTTTTTATATAAAAAGAAAATGAGTATAAGATCATTTCATTTTTTATCCTTAAGTATACAATTAAAAATCTTAAACATATGCCATGCTCAGCTGTTCTCTTCATTGCTTTTTTTGAATGGTACTTGGTCTTGGAGGAAAGTTTCTTCCCAAGCCTTAAGTGCTTTTCAGATCTCATGACTCATTTGTATGGAGGATGTGTCACTGGGGACCTGCCATGTGCCGGGTGCTGTGCTGATCCTGGGTGATACAACGTTGGTGAGATCAGCACAGCTCATGCCCTGAGGGAGCTCAGGGGCTGCGGAAAAGTGAACTAGGATGGTTTGAGTTGGTCAGGGAGGCCTGAGAGTCCAGATGGCGGCCACTTGGAGGGGGTCTGTGGGCTGATGCTGGGACTCAGGGTGGGACGCGATGACTGATTAGAAGCTTGTCTATTGTATTCGCCGCTTGGGAGTAACTGCTTCAACAGAACAAACCATAACAAGAGACGGTACTTGGAAGACCTACTTTAGAAAGAGGGTCTCGTCGAGGAGGTGACTTACCAGCTGGGACCTGGAACAGGTCACAGAAACAGCAAAGAGACAAATGATGTCCTCCTCCTCCTCCACGCTGTCTGTCTTGGTGGTGGTGTGTTCTACACACAGAGCACAGCACATGCAAAGACCCTGAGGCAGGAAAGGACTGTGTGTGTCTGAAGAGCCGAAGGAGGGCCAGTGTCATTCAAGTTTAGCTTGCAGGGTGATGGTTGCCAGGCCCAAACTGTGCAGAGCTTAAAAGCCAAGGTGAGGAGATGAAATTTTGCTTATTCCAGGACAAGGGGAAGACGTGATAGGTTTTGAGTAGAGGAGGAACTTGATTCTGATTTAACATTTTAAAGATCACTCAGGCTTCTC